CGGGGAGCGCTGGGAAATGTAGTCCGGGAGCGCCGCCCCTCCCTCCCCCGCCGGGTTCACCCCGCAGCCCTAGTTTATAGGTCTTGGCACCTGCCGCCCCATCAACTGCGGTGCTTTTATTACGCCTGCACTGAGGCTCAGTCGCCACCTCCCTTTGCTCTTCCCCTTGCAGCTGCTGTGCTGGGGGGGTGGCTGTTGGGATTTGGGCTTTTTGCAGCCTAACAGCACCCGGTCCGGCAGGGGGGTCAGCAAAGCTGGTAGGCGAAAAAGGGAACTCATCCACGCAGAGGCTGTTTGCAACTGCCTTGACCTTACGCAGTCCCAGTAGCAACAAGCCTATTTTTCTTCCCTCTACAAAGTACAAGGAAAGAAGGTTTCTCTAAGCTTTTCAGCCGACACCCGAGCTATGAACAACGCATAATTTATAGCATTACAAAAAGGGAGCCAACAGCTCGAGGCACACCACTGTAAGTCATTTCTATATTGACTTCCCCGGCACAAACGAAAAATAAAGGACCAACAATGGGATAATCTGGACGTTTCTGAGCAAACTCCTTGACTACGTCTGTATTTGAGCATAACTAAGAGTAACGGCGAAAGACACCCCACAGAAGAAACGCTCACATCACTGGGCCTTTCTCCCTTGTACATTAGAATCCATTACAAAATTCACAGGCGCAACGCGCTCAGGAGAGAAGGCTGGGGAGAAGCTGCCCAGCCGGCAGCGACAGCTTCTGAAAGACAACTTGCACCGCAGCCCGCACAGCTCGTTAGCGGGACTGGTCAGCGCCCATTTCTTCTGGCGACAAGGGAAAACGGAGTATGATCTGCAAGGCATAAATCAAACGCAGGGAAAGCTGCTGCGACGTTTTGAGCCATAGCTGCCGCTCTTTAACAAGTTTAACGCTAATCTTCCCCTCCGTCCTTCCGCGAGGCAGAGCTGGAAGGATTCATCAGGCACTCCGGAAATAACCAGCGCATCACCTCTATTCCTGGTTCCTTATTACAATAGGGTCAGTACCACTGAGTAGTTGATAGTTCCTTTCCCCCCATGCCACTATTTATGCCAAGTGACATGTTTCTCAGCTGACTTAGCTTGAAAGAGTTATAATTCAGCCCAGCACGCAGAGATCAAACCACGACTCTCAAGAGTCCGAGCGCTTCATGCCAGAGCACATCTTACAGCTTCTTCCTCCTCTACGAATTCTATAAATTAGCTTGATCGGTTATATTTTGCTCAGTGAACTGAAATAACAGACAGATGCTCAAGTGAAGAATTCAATGTATATTTATTATTCACAGTTAATTACTATCTACCAAATGCTGCTGCAGAGTTAAAGGATTAAGTACATAGGCCTTTTTTTATTTAAACACTGATTTTTTTTTTTTAATATATATACACACACAAGACATATGTCTGCAAGGCTGCATGATATACACCAATTCCAAAATAAGGAAACAATCAAATGGTCCAGGTGTAGAATGCCATAGATTCCTTTTCCAATCACTTTACAAAGAAGGAAGAAAGTGAGTGTCAGCTAGCAAGGAGAGGGGGAGAAAGTAATACTCTACAGGATAGCTCTCTCTTTCATCTGCTGGAAAATTAAAGTGTAAGGCAGAGTCCATCTCAGGAATAAAACATTTGAAACACTTAGTACAAAAAAAGGCACCCTCCAACAAAAGATCACCCGTGCTTCGGCAGGGCCGGAGGAGATCTCCATTGCAGCTTTTGGATTCGTTGGTGGGGTGAAGG